CCAGCCGCGGTCCTCTCAAGTCGCAGCCACCCTGACAGAGGCGGGTGTCTGGGCTCTCTCTCACTGCTCCTAAAGCAACGTGGGCTTCTACACATTCATCGGCTAGCCCATGCACCTGCTGGGTGCCCCCTGCTTGTCCGGCTGCAAAGTCAACCAGGATCTCGGATGGGCGAGCTGCTGCAGATCTATCAAGCAGCTGTGGGACTGGTGCTTCCAACCATCCCTCTTCCCCCGCCAACAGAAAAACCACTGGCTATCAACACTGGTCTGGGAGGGCTCTCCAAGCGTCGCTTACCCATTTGCGCACTGAAGCAGATATCTGCCTCCAAGATAGAGGAAGAGCTGGCTGGAAGGCTTATTGCGTACATGGACGGCTCCGTCATCCCAGACACAAGCTCGGCCACAGCTTCACGCGTTATGCTAGCACTTGGTTGGACGACCTCCTGCCATCTGCCTTTTGCGGCCTGCTCTACCGCTGCGTAGACAGCCGGTCTCCACCTGGCGGTTGACCTCCTGGCAGCAAACCCCCCAACGTTCCCCGTGGCTGTCGCGTGCGACTCAAGAGCTGCGTTGCTGGCCTTGGCAAAGCCGGAACGGGCAGGCGTCGCATCGCAGGTGCTCGTCACCAAACTGCATGCCCTCTTTGCCAGTGGTGTCAATGTTTCTCTGCACTGGGTCCCATCTCATGTGGGAATTCAGGGAAATGGGCAGACTGACGCCCTGGTGAAAGAAGCACATCACTCCTTTGTGCCTGTGTGCCGTACCGTGGTCGCCTCAGACTTTTCGAGGCTCACATGGAGGAGGCTGTTGCTACGCTGCCACCTTGACGATCGTGTAGCAAGGATAAAACCACCAACCCGGCTGTCTGACCGGGGTTTCACCAGGAAGGAGAGGTCCCTGCTACGTGGCTTGCGCATCGGCTGCTCCTGGCCTGCGGCCCGGCGTCATAGGCTTGGCATTGCCTCCTCCCCTGCGTGTACTGCATGCAGGACAGATGAAACCATCGAGCACCTGTTGTGTGTTTGCCCAGCGCTTCGCACACAACGCGGCGTCTTGCTCACTGCACTCCGTCGCCACGGTCTGCCCGCGGCTACACAGAGTTCTCTTTCCGGCAAGGCACCACACCCAGGTCTTCAAGGCGGTTCTTCGATTCTCTGAGGACACTTGACTAGGCAACCGGCTATAGAAGGCGCCCGCCACGTATTTGGTCATGGACGCGATTTCTCTTCTACCTCTCTCTTCTTCACATCTTTATATCTTTTCGCCCCCCCCCCTTCCAGCGCTGAGCCGTGCTCCCAACCAGGGTTGCAGAAGTTGCGTCCGTTCCTTTCCTGAACCTTTATGTCTCACTCTCTCTCTCTTTGTGGTTCTAAGCAATGCCATTGTAGCTTCACAGCGCTCTTAAAGTCAGCGCATGCAGTAAGCATCACCGTGACGCTTCCCCATTGGTTGCCCGCATAGCATAACAATCGGCAACATGCCATCTCAAGACACCGTATCTTTCACAGAGCCAGCGTGACCACAAACATTGCGAACACGAGGAAAGAAAGACGCCGCCACACGGATCTGTAATCAATTAAACAAAAACGTTATTTTTTATGAGTTTCGTTGTGAGGCACTACATGATGGGTTGCCTCCCCTATGACCGCAAAGCACACGAGAAGGCTAGGCGATGATCGAGAGAAGAAAAGGGTAGAGGAGTGGGTGGTGAATGGCTTGATCGGGCGCACCTGCCTGGCATTGAAAAGTAGAGGAGGCACTGTCTTTCACGTAGACCCTCGAGCGTGCCGAACTGATAGGTTCGCCTAAGTCATGAAGATGCGCAGATAACTTTTGCCGCCTTTCTTTTCCACCGTTGTGCGTGTCTTGAGTTGTTAGTAGGCGGCATTTGTGGTGTCTTCACTTCTTTCTTGTGCCCGGGTTTTCATGCACTGTTTATTTAGGATGAACTGAATGGATGTCCTAGCCCCGACGATGTTTCCAAATATTATTTCTTGATGACTCAAAAACAATCGTCCGTATACCACAGGAAAACGTTTGGAGGATGATCGAAGCACGTCAAAACCGTTACACCCACTGGCCCCATGGCAAGGTTCACCAACGGGACACAAATCGAAGCGCCCGCTGCTCTTCAGTAAACCTGAACGGCATTTTGAAACACAATGCATGTGTGTCCTCGACAAAACTTCAGTAGCTTGACAAAACTAGGTACGTCGTCCTTGCTGTTTAAATCTTTTGGTTGTAGTCAGCGATTCTTCATTTTTTTGTTTCACACTTTCGGCTGCCCTAGCAGTCACCGTGAGCGTATATACATCTTATGAGATATGCAGATCAAACAGGGAAGATCGGTGGCAGGTTTCCAATAAGACACGCAGTGTGTGGAACATGAAAATTGAAGCTTCAATTTTTTAAAAAATAAATCAACTTGGTATATTTAATCTCATAGAGATGAAGATAACGCTTATGGCTTGTTCGATTGATGCTTCGGTGTATGCTGTTTGTTTCTGAGGCACCTATTCTCACTCGTACATTTTCTCTTGGAGATAGGACATTGAAACATGCCTCCCGAAGGCTACAGCGCTGCGCTTCTTACAGAGTTTTCAGCTTGCTATCAGGTATGGCATATTCTCCAGTCATGGCGAATATCCATACCGTCATCATTTCTTGTGTCCGTTCTATTTCAGTGGCCAAATTGAGGGTCATCTCTTGTCTAAGTACATTAGAATTGAATAATGCTACAGCTAAGATCTCGCGTTAACAATTTCCGTCTGGTTAACTATCAAGTAGCCAGGTGTCATTCTCAGTCAACTTACCCGATTGAATGAAAGCTTTTATATATGAATGGATGTATTTTGCAATCCTATTTTTATATTATGGTGTAATTGTTTTTTATGTATCTGCCTCTATTTCGATCTCCAATTTGCAAGCCAAAGTGTAGCGTTTCATACCGGATGCTACCTTCTAGTTAACTTCCCCGCCTTCCTCTTTCAAATGCGGAGCCCCGCCGCGCTGGTCTAGTGGATAAAGTACTCGGCTGCTGACCCGCAGGTCACGGGCTTGAATCCCGGCTGCGGCGGCTGCATTTCCGATGGAGGCGGAAATGTAGACCCGTGTGCTCAGATTTGGGTGCACGTTAAAGAACCCCAGGTGGTCAAAATTTCCAGAGCCCTCCACTACGGCGTCTCTCATAATCATATGGTGGTTTTGGGACGTTAAACCCCACATATCAATCAATCTTTCAAATGAGCACTTTCAAGCCGCGTGATGTCGCGCTTCAGCGTCGGCGGTGGCACCGTCCATACCCCCACTGCGCATGCTTGCGCCTCGTGCCGGCCCAGGAATACATCCGCAAAACTGTCGCTCCCCTCCCCCTCTCTCGCATTGCAAGGCCGACGCAGGCTGCTAGTAAAGAAACGACTGCTCACGCTGCAGAACAGTTCGCTGGCCACCCCGTATATGTAAACACTGGATGGCGTGTTCGGAATTCTGTCAAGGTCGTCTTTACTTGGTTTTCGAAGAGCGTTGAAGGCAACGCTTCTCCTTCATTCAATAAATAAGTATAATAACGACGGGATAACGATTACCAATTCTGAAACCCTACCTAATTACGCAACATTCACACGACACCCTTACTACTCGGCGAGGCAGTTACTCGAGTTTCCCCTGCGGGAGGATGCGGGCGGTAATTTTTTTTAAATATGATAGTCTTTCTTGGGATACTCCGACGCAAAAATTTTGGTGTGTCTGTCTGTCGACTTGTCTGTTTGTCACCCGAAACGGCCTGTTTCTTTTTTTGTGTGTGTTCTTTGCCTTTAATTTTAGAATCCAATCACATGCGCAGTGCCCACCAATATTGTCTTGGTTTTTGCGTTCGTACTTTAGTATGGATTAAAAAACAAATGTTTCACACATATGAGGCAGCACATCACCACGTCAGTGCAGCGTTGGCAATAAACCACTATCACCCGCCCATCCCCCTTATCACTAGTTAGCAAGCCAGCCCCTATGTACTCGGCTGTCACTCGTGTCTCACGTGGTTCCAGACTATAAAAAGACCATGTATCGAGGAATAAACAGTTCAGTTCGTGTTGCCACTACGTTGCGTCACTTCAGTCAGTATACTGTATTTCTTATCCTACAAACGTCATACGCACGTAGTTCTAATGAAAGTAGCGTTAATTACGCTAAGCTCAGAATGCAACGCTATGCATGAAAAGGTGGGTGTTTCCTGCGTTCTGCTAAGGCGACACGGTACCCCACTGCGGTGGTCTAGTGGCTAAGGTACTCGGCTGCTGACCCGCAGGTCGCGGGATCAAATCCCGGCTACGGCGGCTGCATTTCCGGTGGAGGTGGAAATGTAGGCCCGTGCGCTCATATTTGGGTGCACGTTAAAGAACCCCGGGTGGTCGAAATTTCCGGAGCCCTCTACTACGGCGTCTCTCATAATCATATAATAGTTTTGGGACGTTAAGCCTCACATATCACATAAGACGACATGGTGGTGGCACCTACCCACAGCGCGCATCGAGGCCCTTTAACGCAGCGCCTTCAGAACCCCATTCACTGACTTTCACACGCAGAACATCAAATAAATGTTTTATTCACTCTCTCCAGACGGAGGAAAATCATAATTTGACGACATTTCCAGTGAAACATGCAGATACGGCGCAAATGTTTTTTCTCTCTCTCTTTTCATCGTAAAGACATTCTGTTTGGTCAACCACTAAGAAGACGCGCTTAAGGAACGTGCCGCACAAGCTGTTCTATTCTTTGTATCTATGATAGAAACACTGTGCTAGATTCTGCGTATTAGACACGCTGTCTGCTCTGTGTCGGATTCACTGCACTTGTGTAATGTGTGTGCTTGCTTCTTGCTATTTCACTACGCCTTGCGCAGGGAGGTCTCTTACGAAATAAAGCTTAACTATTTGCGTAACATGCAGTACATGTAACGTATAGACACAGATTTTCGTGTTGATTATTGGAACCAATGAACTCACCCACAGTGCGAGCAGTCCTAGTAAAAACATCGATCCACTTCTATAGCCGAATATTTCCACGATATAGCCGGCAATTGGAGGTGTCACTGTAGCCCTGCATTGATATAAGTTGCGTTTTAAAGGCATGTTGTTGTTGGTGAAAAAACTGTGCAAATTCTGCTGCTAGCAAAGCCGGAATGAACGAGAAGCACGGATTACCATTTAGCCAAACGAAAACACATGATGGCACAATACTTCAAAAAGAAGTCACAGCTTTGCCACGAAGGCAAAGCAATGAACGCGATAGCCACACATTGGAAGATCATGCGCAGAATGGCAAGCATGTCGAAACGTGCCCCGCGTTTCGAACGCACAGATGGCACACGAAACGTACTCAGCGGTACAGATGAACGCGAATAAGCGTCTCAGTTGTTACTTAGCTGTGTCTGAGAAGTGTGCCCTCTTCGCAATCGGAGACTGCGCAAAGATTGACGTGACCCGGTAACTACAACAGAACCGTTCCAGCGAAAGCCCAACGCCAGTTAAAACGTACAATTCTGCCCACCGCGAGACAGAAGCGCGTGAGTGAGCGTCCACCCTCCTCTTTTCCGCGTGCCACAGTGCGCGTGGAAGATGAGAGCGTGCGCCGCAGCATCGGGGCGATGTGGCGACGCGCCCTCATATTGCCATCTTGCTGATAATGCTGAAAACATGATAGCCCCCCCCCCCCCAAATGCCCGTCAGCAGCTGTAAGGGGCAGATTAAATGTAAATAGCTTGCTGTTTAAACGTTGAAGGTGGTGCTTCTTAGAGACTCAGTGGTTCGCGCGTTCAATACAGCCGCGTGCCGGAATCTTTCTCTCGATAATTTTTCTTTTTCGCTTTTACGCACACACACACACACACACATACACACACACACACACACACACACTCATATATATATATATATATATATATATATATATATATATATATATATATATATATATATATATATATATATATGAATGAGATCTAACAGACAATAATGCCTAGGAATGTATAGGGGAAGTTATTAGAACCAATGTAATTTAAATAATAAGAAAGAAAAGTGGGTGAAAAAATAACTTGCCGTGAGCCGGAATAGAACCTACGATCTTCGAATAACGCGTTCGATGCTTTAACCACTGAGCTACCACGACAGCTATCACCCCAGCCACTTTGTTGGATATCTATGTCAATCTTAAACGTGGGAGTGTCAGTCAGCGCCACTAGTAGCCATGGCGGCGAGTGTGGCACACTCTTTATGAGCCTGTGTGGCGCCACGTAGGACGTGAACTTATTACGAGCGGGCAGCTGATCAATAGTCCCTCGTATACAACCTAACGGCACCAAGTCTGCCAGTATGAGACCCTTGTTAATGAATAAGGGAAAGAAGTGTATACCTAAGGGCTCATTTTTCCGTGTTTTGACACAATATTAATGAGACCTAACAGACAATAATGCCAAGGAATGTATAGGGGAAGTTATTAGAACCAATGGAATGTAAATGACACTCCGACGTTTAAATTCAAATATGAACCCAACAAAGTGGCTGGGGGAATAGCCGCCGTGATAGCTCAGTGGTTAGAGCATCGGACGTGTTATTCGAAGGTCGTATGGTTCAATTCCTGCTCATGGCAAATTATTTTTTCACCCACTTTTCTTTCTTCATCTTTACAATATATTCGTTCTAATAACTTCCCCTATTCATTCCTTGCCATTATTGTCTGTTAGATCTGATATACATATATATGTATATATATATATATATATATACATATATATATATATATATATATATATATATATATATATATATATATATATATATATATAATATATAAATATATATATATAAGGGAAAGAAGTGCATGCCTAAGGGCTCGTTTTTCCATGTTTTGACACAATATTAATGAGCTCTAACAGGCAGTAATGCCAAGGAATGTAAGGGGAAGTTATTAGAACAAATGGATGTCAAATGTCAATAGGAAGAAAGAAAAGTGGGTGAAAGAGTAACCAGCCGTGAACAGGAATCGAACCTACGACCTTCTAATAACGCGTTCGACGCTCTCGATGCTCTCGAATAACGCGTTCGAGCATCGAACGCGTTATTACAAAGTCGACGCTGGTGGGAAAATCTAGCAGAGAGTGTCCATATAATTTCTATCGCAATCCTTGAGCTTATCTTAAGATGGTGCTTGATGAATGATAGTAAGGCGCCTGTCGTATTCGCAAACAATAACTAAGTCGATTTGGAGATACCTTGCCTCACTTTAGTTACATTGGTAATGCTAATTAAAAAATTTGAAATAAAATGTTCTTATCAATTTGGGAGCAGTTTACATAAATGTTGCAGGATGACACATTTTAAGTCACAATTTATTCACTTATTGCGGAAGAGAAAAGCATGAATCACACGCAAAGACATAAGATGGCCCGCAATGTGGAAGGCTAATTTTCACGACATGACATCACCATGACGCTCCACGGTTCCAATTTCCTCCTCATTGTCATGGAGCACTTCAGTGTGACGTAATAGAGCAGCCTTCGTTTATGTGCTCTCGGCGTTCTATGGAACTTCAGAATCATATCAAAGAATTCAAGACATACCAGCGGCTTTCAGGATTCTGAAGAAATCAGTATGCCATACATTTCGATGTTCCACAACATTTTGTATGCACCATTGCCCTCAAGTTCATTACAAGGAGGCTAATCAGCAAGTTTTGGGCAATGATTTGTTTCATTGTAATTTCAAGAATGGCAAAATGTTTCCACCTCGACGAAGAGCTCGCTTGCGAAAACAGCTGTTGACGTGCTTCATAGCGTAGTTATTAAAAACCCGTATGGACCATAATAAGACGCTCCTTATAATAAACCACACTTAAGAGTGCTAGGCAGCGTAGCTGTTGGGAGAGAACTCACCCGAACACCAAACTTGTAAATACAACTGTTGATATGAATGATGTTGTCTTTATATCATCTGAGTATCCGCTTGCCCTGCGTAAGCCACATACACAATGCAATGACTAACGAATCACTTAACGATGTAATAGATTTTATGTAAAAGTGCAGCACGCCCGAAACCAGACGTCAGAAAATACAAAGCATATCATACCTGTTGACTAACACACACACATAGCCGATCTGTATCTAGGTACGACAAAGGAACATTACCATATAGTGCTGTATTACGAAAATGAAAATAAGGAAGAGGAACAAAATATTTTCTCCTAAATTCGATTTGATATGGCGAACACAAAGCTGATGATTGAAGCATATAGTCAAAATAACAGAGAGCTGAAATAGTTGGCAGCCTTAAAAACGGGGTGTGCAAGCACGGTCTCAAAAAATACACTAAGATTTCTTTTGCGTTTGAACTTTCAACATGTCACGCAAGTTTGTAAGTGTAAGTTTTGTAGTTAAAATCATTTTAAAGTTGATCAATCAATTATTTCGTTATTGTTTGAAAAAAGTATGAAAAGGTAACCAAGTTTTCGAAGGAGAACAATCAAAAGGTAAATGTTGAATAGGACCTCCTCCCCATTTTTTTCGGGGAGGAGGGGCTTAGCTGGAACACGCTGTATGTCGAGGCCTGCTTACGTCGATGAGCACGACTCACGTTGCCTATTTTCGTTGTCCTTCCAAATGGGAGTGTGCATTGTTTGCTTTAGCGTTTACACTGCACACTTCAACCAATGTGTCAGTGCTATCACAAAGTCACACTGGCCAGTGACCCCAAGGAACACATATGGATCAACACATGCCAGCTGAATTTTCGCGACTTTGCTATCTTTGAGGGCGCGCAATGAAAAAAAGACACGGTAACACAACTATCACGCAATAGTTGTAGAATTTTCTGTACAAGAAAACCAATATTTTGTAGTGTTTGCACTTTGCTCCAAGAAATGTGTGCTCGTTGGTATAAACTGAAACCATTTGTTAAAGCGAATCAAAACGAGTGGTGACGAGGTCAACACATGAGAGCAAACTCACGTACAATCTCAGGCAAATATACAGCGCCGGTCCCGCTAACCCTGGCCCCGCTCGCCGCGCACACATATGCACTTCAAGAGCGTTTGCCGACTCGGTAATCCCCTGGCCGCTAAGTGTGGTCAGCTATGAAGTAGCGTGCCCGCATCCGGGAACATGCGAAATTTCAAGGGACCTTGCTGCTGGTTCATATCACCACCAGTGTTAACGACAGTGAGCGCGGTGTTCGAGGGTTTCTCACAGTTTAAGTACTAAAACAACTCAAGATAGTTATTATTACAACTTGCCTTACATTTTAGCAGGCACTGCTGTTTTCGTTTGCGCGCAGGAAACCTTGGGCGAAGTGCCACTTCGTCTATTCCCTGCATATACGCTTGCCTAAGGCGTTTTGTGCTCTGAAGAAAACTGTTCAACACACCAATTTTTCACCCTGTAGTGTTCCTGCCGACAGTTATCAGAGGTTGTATGCTATATTCGAATCTTACGTAGCCTAATATCAGCAAGATAATTCAATATCAAGTCTAAACAAACTTACACTGCATGTTTCAGTGAATGGCAGTAACCACAAATGAACTGTCCAGCCATACCAGCACCCGTGAACACTTGGGAGAGGTATACCATCCACATAGCACTATGCGAAAACAAACAAAATACAAATAAGAAACTCGCTATCGTTCTCTGCTGCGTCACATATGCAATGCAGCTCAATACATCCTGCTAGTAATCTCATAACATCATAAACACACAACGAACTACGATTTTTTGTACAAGGTAGTGCAAAAATGATAATGCGAGGGCGCATAAATATACTGCGTTCAGTGCATGAATTCGGCGAGAAGTAATGGGAGTGTTAGGGAGGTGGAAATTGTTTTTTATTGTGGCGAGGGTGAGTAGTAGGCGAGCCGAGAAGGCGGCACGAACTCAGCTTTAAAAGAACCGAAAAAGGTTAGATGGAGAACTGGCATTTAGAAATACCTCCATTACTTGTGGGCAGATTGACTGCTTTTA